TCCTAATTTCTCAGCTTCTAATCTTTGGGAGCTATTACATCAGGCTGGTATGTTACCTCTTTGTTAGGACTGTGTGCCAAGAAAGGCATAATGGGTTGTGAGTAGGATCGAAGTGGGTTTCCCATGAGCAGGGCAAATCTTGCTGCCTGACTCCACTCTCCAAAAGTCCTACACTCTCCATCCAACTGTAAGCCCCAAGTGGGGACAGCGATCATAGAAGCTACTTGCTCCTTGGGAGGGGGTTCGCCTTCTCTTTGGATCCCTTCCTCTGAGCCCAGTGGGCTGGGGGTTTGGAGTCTCTTTTTATAGGAGAGTAAGGCTTGAGGTCTCACAGCCAGTAAGAGGGGCCGGGGTTGGAGGCTGGGGCCGCGGGACCCGCGCCAGCAGCTTCCGACTGGTCCCGTCAGGCACGCCTCCTGCCCCACCCCGCTCCCCGGGACGATGCAGCACCCAACTGCAAGTTCAATACAAGCAGCTTCCTACATTTTCAAAATTGGGAATAGAGGTACAGGGCCAATATTTACTTTTGTGTCGTGTTTGGAGACCCCACTCCCAAATCCGCCGTGACTTGCTGTGTGGCCCGGGGAACGTTGTTGGCCCTTCCCAGCACCACCCCCTGGCTCCTGGTCCTGCCATGGGCCACTGGCACATGAATCCTGCCAGTCAAGGCTCTGGGGTTGGCCCAAGCTTGAACAAGTCTCTGTCTCATTCTATCTCGCTCGCTCGCTCGCTCTCATTACCACAGGTCACTCATTCACTCAACAAACATCTATTGTGCAGGTGGGTGGAGATAGATGCACACACAGGTCCTGACCCAAGGCAGGCTGTGACCGTGCCCTGCGGGTGCTGCATGCGAGGGAGAGGGGGTCCTGCTCTGGATGGGCTCCGGGAGCAGGTGGCCTTTGGGAAGGGGGTAGAGCCCGGGTGAAAGTAATAGGTGAAGAGGGGAGGGCATCCCAGGCAGAGGGCACAGCTGGAGCAAAGGCACCCTGGGGGGGTGTCGGGGCCAGTAGTGTGCCTGGTGAGGCTGGAGGGTGCAGATGCGGGCAATGCAATTGGAGGGTATGTTGGGCCAGATCTGCAAGGCCTCGAATGCCAGGTGAAGGGCTCCACTTGCCCCTGAGGTGTTTCAGGAGTGGGGGCGGGGGGGGAGGAAGGTGCTCACACAGACCTCTGAAGGCTCCCTTGGGCCCCATGGCTTCCCACCAGAAGCAGCCCCATGAGCTCTGGGGCGTGATTCCCGTTTTCACCAAAACAGAAACTGAAGCCCCCCCAAGGCGAATCGAAGTGCCCACAGTCACCGAGCTGAAGGGGCATTGTGAGGACAGAGCTGCAGGCAGGAGGGCCGGGTCAGTTTTTCCATCTGTAAAATGGACACATTGGGAGGGCCCTCCCCAATCAGGCGCTCTGCCCTCTGGTCCCCATGCCCCCCAGCCACCCAGATCCCAGTCCCAGACAGGACACCCGTTGAAAGGTCACGCCTATGTCTTGACATTTTCTGTGAGTCTCCCTGCTGCTTTAATACCCCTACCTCATCCCATCCCACCTCAGGGGAGTCTGGCCCTTCCCTCTCTGGGCTCTCTCATGCCAGACACTGCTCATCTGCCATTAGTCACCAGTTGGTAAAGAAATTGAGGCCTTCAAATGCCCTATCATGGTCCCACCCACTACTGCTCTGCCCTGCCCCCATCTCCCAGCTCAGCCACCCAGGGCCATGTCTGGCCGGGAGTTCCTTGTCCTTGGGGAATAGCAGAGCCCAGCCAGGCCCTGGGATCCCAGTTGTGCTGTGTGACCTTAGGCACTTTCCCCAACTTCTCTGAACCTTATTCTTTTCTTCCTTTCTTTCCTTCTTTCCATCCTTCCTTCAGCTCTCTCTGACTCATCCCTCCTTTCTCATGCCACAAATGTTTATTGAAACTATACCAGACACCCTGGCTCAGAACTATTGACCCTTGCCCTCGGGAGCCTCACTTACAGAGAGCTGTAGGACTGAACTTGACCCAGGCCCCTGAGGCCCTACCCCTGGGTGGGGGGACAGGTGGAATAAGATTGACCTCTAAACCATGGAAGAGTCAGCACAGGCTTTTGAATCAACCCCGGGCTCCAAGCTCCCACTTCCTGACAGTGTGACCCTGGCCAAGTCACTTCACTGCTCTGAGTCCCAGTGTCCTTCTTTAACAAATGACAATGATTGTCTTGTGAGATTTAAATGGCACATCTGTCTGGTAAGAGGCTATTCAAAAGTTCCTAAGCATTCACCTTTGTCAGGGTGCCTGGGTGGCTCAGTCGGCTTAAGCATCTGACTCTTGATCTGGGCTCAGGTCATGATCTCACACTGTGCCCTGACAATGTGGAGCATGCATGGAATGCTCTCTCCCTCTCTCTCTCTGCCCCTACTCCACTCATGCTCGCTTTCTCTCTCTCTCTCTCTAATAAATAGATAAACTTAAAAAAAAAAAACACCTCATCTTTGAGGCCTGGAACATTATAGAGAAGGGCTGATCTCCCTCACGGTGGAGTTCAGGCATCAGTCAGTTACCCCAGGTACAAGACTTATTTCGGAGGCAGAGAGTTCTTTGAGCCCCTCTAGACAAGAGACAATATTCTACATTGTCTGCAACCTGTTTACCTTCACATAAGAATGTCTCTCTTGCAGGGGAAGGACAGGTCCTGATTCTTGATGATGACGTCATCACAAAGTTTCACGTACCATTTACACTATTGTGCCTGGTCCTCAACAGACGCTATCTTTAATCCCCAGAGCTGGGGGTTCTTGTTACACCCATTTTATATAGGAGGAAGCTGAGGCTCAGAGAGGTCTAGTAACTTGCCCAGAGTCACACAGCCAAGAGTGAGCTCTGAGGCTCCCCATCGGACCATTGCACTGTCCTTCTCTGGCCTTGGATGATGAAGGACCCCTGCTGACACTCTCTGAGGACCTTGAGCCCTTTGCCACCCTTTCTGGGTCTGTTTTTCCTTTAGTAAAATGGAGTTTTGAATCTTTACCTGTCCAATAAAGTAAGACAAGGCAGGATTTCCCAGCCCCTCTGAACAGATGGGAAAGAGTGGGGCAAGGGTCCCCTGGTCACCAGGTCTAGAATCCAAATCTTTAAGCCCAGCCTGGGCTCTGGCTGCTACTTGCCACTTCTTGGAAACCAGTTCTGACCCTTGATTGCTCAAGTCACTGCATCACAAAGATGGCCACAGTTCTCTGGAAGGGAAAGGGCAGAAGAAGGAAGAGGAAGCAGCTGTCTGGGCTGTGGACAGGCCCAGGGCTCTGTGCCAAGCCCCATACCAGGAACAACCCAATGGGCATCCTAAAAAGAATCCAGTGGGTTCCTGTCCTCTAGGGAGCTCCCACACAGGGGTCACAAAGGAAAATTAGTGCCAAGTAGAGAAGAACATCACATTTCCGAGTGGAAGAGAATGGACAGAAGCAAAATGCATCCTTTCGCTTGGGGCGGGGCTCACATTTGTAGAAACATACAAGGCTGACTGTCCCCAGGCCTCCTGTTTCTCTTTGAGGCCCCTGTCCCTCGGGGCCATGTTTGGGGACACTTGGCTATCTTGCTCCAAAACTCAGGGACCCCCAGTTATCAAGTGCTCATTACAGATTGGGTGCTCAGCCTCAGTCATTTCGGCAGAGTCTTACTCCAGGCCTATAAGAAAGGAACTCTTGCTACCATTTTGCAGAAGGGAAACTGAGGCAGGGAGAGCCAACCTCCTTGCCTGTGGGCACATAACTGGTCAGTTTTGGAGCCAGAACTCAAAGCCTGGTTTCTTGGCTGATGCTCACTCACCCTGCTTCTTCCTCTGAGCTCTTGCCAGCTGCATAAAACGGTTTTTGTAACAACATCTGTAAAATGGGGCGATTATGGGGTTCCCTCACAGGGTTCTATTTTCCAGGCCAGCAGGACCCATCAAACAAACTTATGAGTTTGTTCCCTAAGACCCCCGGCAGGGCTCGTTTGATGCAGGGACGAAACGAACATCCACTAAAGCAACATGGGTTCATTCCTGCACAGTGTCACACAGGAATGGAAACTGAGGCCAGTTGGGCAGCCCAGATCCATCAATACCTATGGAACTTGCTCCAGAAAAAAACCAAAAAACTGGGGGAGGCCCTCAGGTCCCAGTGTCTCCAGGGACCCTCCCTGCTCAGGCTTCACGGTGGGTAAGAAGCACAGGGGGCTGGAGAACGAGAGATGGGCACAGCCAAGGGGCTGGGCTCCAGGGGTCAGAGGCTGAGTCCCGGGAAGTCTGGCTTTGTTTCTTTCTGGCACACAGTGGATCTGCAAGGAAACTCAGTGAAGGCAGGGGAGGAGAAGAGAGGGAGAGATGGTGGGTGAGTGGGTGGATGGATGACGAGACGGCCTGAGGGGTGGATGGAGAGGCAGAGTATCAGTTTTGCTGCAGGAAGTGGTGCCGGTGTACCTGCCTTTGTGGGCTGTCCACCTGTCTGCACACGAGTCCATGTCTGCGTGTGGGTCTGTCTCAGAGCTTCTGAAGTTTTGTGTGTCTTCGGGTGCCCCGATCTGCTTTTGTGTCCACACCTGGTGATGTGTGGGTTGGGTGTCTGTGAGGTCTGCCTGTGTGTCGGTGAGCTGGGTGTCTGGGCATCTGCTTATGCTCTGGATGGAGACCTGTCTGTGGGTGTGTCTGGCTGTATCAACGTCCGGGCACGTCTCTGTGATTTTAATCTGATTTTGCATCCCTGTCACTATGTCTGTGACAGACCCAGAGTCTGATGATGTGTCCAGGAGTGTCTGTGTGTCTTGGTCTAATTCTGTGATCTCTGCCTGTTGCCATCGCAGCCTTGAGCTCTGTCTGCTCCCCCAGGGGGCGCCCTTGCCCAGCTGCCGCTCCTGTCCCATAGGCTCCTGCCCCTGGGTGCACCCTAACTGGCGGAAAGCCTGGGGCCCAGACTGGGCAAAGGTGGCCCCGCCAGGTCCCCGCCTTCCCGCGCGGCCCCGCCCCCTGCCCGCCCAAAGCAGGCTATAAGTTCACAGTCTTCCCCAGCTTCAGCAGTGCTTGCCTTCAGTGGTCGCACTTGGAGGGTCCTGCCGCCAGTCAGAGGAGCCACCGCCACCACCTGACCATGGCCGAGGGTGAGTATCAGGGTCAGTGCTGCCACCATTCACGGGCTCCTGCCTGCCCTGCCTCCCTCCTCTCCCGGGTCCCGCCTGTGCCATGGGGGGGCCGGTGCTGCGGGGGCAACACCTGGCAGGGGCTCTCCCCAGTTTGGAGAGGGAACCTGGGCTGGTGAGATGTGCCTGGCATGCCTCCCCCTCCCACCAGGCCGTACCCCCCCTGGGGCCCTTAATTTCATCCCTGGGGCAAAACCATTAACCCCTGCGTCCCTGAAGCAAATAAAGCAATGGAGCATGAAGGCATGTTGTAAACTGTAGAGTGCTAGACCAGCGGGCCACTGTCACTTGTCCTCGGTCAGTTAGTGGGGCTGGGTGCCTGCTATGTGCCACACCTCTAGGTGAGCAAGCCACGCCTGGCTGACTCCTTGGCCCTGGGGCCAGAGAAGAGGTTCTAGCACCCTCTGGGCTGAGAGCACACATATGCTCCAAGGTGCCTCCAGCCCCCAGGTTCTGCAGGCCTGGTCTTTGGCCACTTGTTGATTCTCAGTTTCCCCTCCTGTAAAACACAGACAGCACTGCCAGCGCTTGGTGCATCCGGGAGGGCCAAGGGGAGTGGAGTAATGGTCTGATGAATTTCCTACCTGCTCCCCACTCCATACACAGGCGCGCGCGCGCGCACACACACACACACACACACACACACATACACACACACACAGAGACGGTCGCAGCCATGGGGGGGCTCCTGGCCCAGGAGGGGACTTCCGCAGTGCGGGATGTCAGTGCACTAAAGTGCTGGAGCCCATGACCCGGCGAACTCTTGGGTCAAGTCCATGTGGAGATGACGTCTACATGGCTGCAGCCCCGGGAAAGAGGTGCTGGTGGGGGGGGGGGGACTGCGAAGAGGGACAGGGGGCCCCCCATGGAGCAGGGACGAGAAGGGGAGCCGGGGACCCGCCTGACCTGCCGTGTGACCTTGGGCCACCCTAGTCCCTAGCTGGGATCCGGCTCCCTGACATGCAGGATGGAAAACCAGCTCAGGGCTGGCGGTGATGGGTCGTCCAGGTGGCATCCAGGACGCAGTTTCCCATCCCTGTCCCTGAGGGAGGCTCAGTGGGGCTGGGGACCCTGGAGGTAGTAGCGGCTGTGACGAGCTACCTGCCCCACTGCCACAGCAGCCACCTCCTACAAGGGTCCCGCTGGCCTTTCCCAGCGCAGAAGTCCTGTGATCCTAGAGCTCAGTGCTTCTGCGCCTTTGGAGCTGGGTGTGATTTCTGGAAATCCTTCTTTAGATAAGAGCCCAAGAAAGCACTGCACCTGCCCCAGCCCAGGAGCTGACGACCTCCCTACAGTCCTCCAGGGGGACAGGGTGGTCTCTTCCCTGCTTAAGCTCTCTGGGGGCGAAGTTTCTAATAACAAGGTTTCCTCACGCCAGTCCTTCCTGCTGGTGGTGGAGGTCTGTCCTGCTGTGAGCGCAGGGAGCACCTCCCTCAGGTCTCCTCCCAGGCTCAGAACAGGGACTTTAGGAGGGGAAGGAGGAGGGGAGGGAGAACAAACCCTGAGCTGCGGAGTGAGGTGGCTCCCAGCGCAGGCTCCTGAATCTACAGCCCCGGGTTCAGATCCCAACGCCGAAGCTCACCCGCGACCTGGGGCCTCAGAACATCCCCTTCTGCACAGTGGGGGTAGCGACAGTTAGTATCTGTACAGGAGTCGTCATGAGGTTTCAGTGGGTACCGGCCACGCCAAAGCCCTCTCTCAGCAGTCACTGGGCACTTCGGGATATCCCGGGACAGAAGGCAGGGGACCTGGGTCGATGTCCCGGTGGAAGACCCCACTCCCCGGGGGGCTCTGGGCAGATCCCTGCCCCCGGGGCTCGGCTGGAGCGCATACTCTCCAAGGGCCCCACAGCTCTGGGAGTCCACCTTGCCCACTCTCCCCACGTCTTCCTACTCTTAACCTTGAGCTTGCCAGGATTTATGAGGTTTGTGCTTCCCTCGGACCCCCCCACCCCCACCCGGCACCCCTCCCCCTGCCCTGGTCTTCAGCTCACTCTGAAACTACAAATAGAACTTTCTCATAACAAACCTCTGGCCTGGGCTAGGCCTTGGGGAAAGGGTACCCAGCTTTCTCTCCTCATCCTCTCAGCAGCCTTTTGAGACCTCAGAGGAGGCACAGAGAGGGAGAGAGACCTGTCCAGGATCACACAGCAGCACCACAGAACTGAAAATCGTAGGTTCAAAAGACTCCAAACCCTCTGTCATTTAAAAAACCTATTTGGTATGGAGAACATTGAACATACCTCAAAGTATGTCTCCTGTGGCTGCTCCTGCTTCTTGAACCCCTCACCTCCCCACCCTCCCCCTGCTGTTTGGAAGCAAATCTCAGGCGTCATCATTTCATCTGTCAGTATTTCAATAAAGCATAAGAGCTCTCTTTTTTAGACATGAATAAATTAACAAAAATTCCTCAGTATCACCACAGCTCCACGGGTGTTCAAATTTGTGATTGTCTCCATGAGTATAATAAATGTTTTAGAATCGTTTTTTAAAAACCAGAATCCAGAGGAGGCTCACATAACACAATGGGTCGAAATGTCTCTTAAGTTTCTCTTAATCTATAGTTTTTCCCTTCAACTAATTTTTTCTTTTTTTTTCCTTGCAGTTTCTTTTTAAGTTTACTTATTTATTTTGAGAGATAGAGACAGGAGAGAGAGGGAGAACATGCCTACAAGACAGGGAGGGACAGAGAGAGAGGGAGAGAGAGAATCCCAAGCAGGCTCTGTGCTATCAGTGTGGAGCCAGACGCGGGGCTCCATCTCATGAACGGTGAGATCATGACCTGAGCTGAAATCCGGAGTCGGACGCTTAACCGACTGAGTCACCCAGACACCCCACCTTGCAGCTAATCTGTTAAGGCAACAAGCTCCTTTGCTGTTTGTTTCCTGGAGTGTGAATTTTATTGACTGCATCCTAGTTCCATGTTTAACACATTCCTCAGTCTCCCCGTCAATTGAAAGTTGAACCTAAAAGGCAAAATGGAACCTCCACCCAATATTGCCCCACCTCACTTTTAACAAAAGAACCCTTTGATCATGACCGAATAGCTCCTGTTTAGTGAGCATTTGTTACGTGCCAGGACTGTATGAAGTGGCTCACAGCAGTCCTGTGGACAGGTGGGGAGGAACAGGAGTCCCAGAAAGCGGACTTGCCTCGGGTCACATGCTGGAAGGTGGCCAAGACTTCTCCCAACATGCCACAGTGAGCACGGCATCGTGACTGTGACTAAGGGTCGGGAGATACGGCCCGGCTAGCCGCAGGGTGACAGGGCTGGGTGGGGGCTTGGGAAGGGGCAGGGCTGCAGCCATTATCTAGAGAGAGCAGGCTCCCAGACAGCCCTGGGGCTCCCCATGTCCACGGCCAGTGGAGAGAGGCCACCTCGGCCCACACCCCTCCTGCTGTCTCCGTAGAACTGGTTCTGGACAGATGTGACCTGGAGCTGGAGGTCAATGGCCGCGACCACCACACAGCCGACCTGTGCCGGGAGAAGCTGGTGGTGCGGCGGGGCCAGCCCTTCCGGCTGACACTGCATTTCGAGGGCCGAAACTACGAGGCCAATGTGGACAGGCTCACCTTCAGCGTCACCACCGGTGAGTACCACCCCCTCGGCCTGACCTGCTCTGTTCTGTGATTTCAGGGCCCCCTGACAATGAGGCAGGCGGCTCCATTCCTCTTTGTCCCCCCAAGAAGTTCCTAGCAGCCACTAGCCCCATTTTACAGATGAGGCAACTGAGGCCCAGAAAGTGGAGAGCTGACATCTCGGGTCACCCAGCCTTGTAAACAGTCTGCTGGACACCTGGGTTCCTAAAAGCCTGTTATCACCCTGGATAACGGCTTCCTACCGCAAAGGTCAAGATCCTGGCCGTATCAAAACAGCTTTCCAACGCTTATCAACAGCTACTTCCCCAAATCCACGTAACCTGACCAGGCCTCTGGGACCCGGCTTACACTGGCCCTGGGCAGTGGAGAAACCCTGCTGGCATCTCTCTGAGAGGACAATGTTGTACCCCCATAGTCCCTTCTCTAGGCCTCAGGAGGCTGCCTCAGGCTTGGGGGCTATAGACAGACCTGGGTCCTGGTACGGACTGGACTGCCTATTCACTGTGCAACCTTGGACAAGTTGCTTAGCCTCTCTGAGCTTGAGGTTTATCTTGTGACAAGCACTGCTGGTAAAAAGTTGTTGGGTGAGAAGGGCCAGACAGGGGGTAGTGCCTTGCAGACATTAGCAGCTGTGCAGCTCCTGCTCTGGGAGGTGGGGGGGGGGGGTGCCCAGGGATGAGCAAAGGGACACGGAGGCCCCAACCACCCCATGCCCAGATGCCCGGTTCCCAATCTTGTTGGCTTGCCGGTGCTGGGAAAGTGGCCTCGAATGCCGAATCTCCTCGATTTGGCTGCTGTGGAAACCACTCCTGTGAGGTCGGTGAGGGGGCCCCCTGGCTGGCACTCTGCCCGAGGGTGAGAAAGGCCAGTTTTTCCCGAGACTACCAAGTGCAGAGCTGGCAGCAAACAGGCTGAGGCCCATATCTACCTGGGTGGCCGTTTGATAAGGCTTATCATGGTGCTTGCAGACCGGCCATGGGTATCTCTCCTGGGCCTTTCCTCCCTCCCCCTCAGCTTCTGATAGGGATACACCCACTACCCAGGGGCAGCCCCCCTACCCCCATGCACAACCAGTACCCTTGGGGCCCTTTCTAATGGACCTGTGGAGCCTCCAGGAGCCTCTGATCTTTCTAGCCTCAGTTTCCCTCTCTGTGAAGTGGAAGGTTGTAGTGCAGGACAGTTACGCGCTGGCTAGGACATCCCAAGAAGAGTCAGGGTCAGGCTTGGGATGATGAGAATCAGAGCACCTATAGAGCACCTACTGTATGCGTGCTCGTCCTCAATCTGCCCATCTGGGAAACGTAATGAGGCCCCACTTCACAGATGAAAATACTGAGGCTCAGAAAGGTCCAGTTACCTGCCTGGGTCACACAGGAAGTTAGGGACAAAGCAGGATTCAAACGCTGCCCCCAGAGCTGAGGCTTTACGTTGCTGTGAGCTGACAGCAGGCATATTCACCATAAAGGCCTGCGGGGTCTCAGTTTGTTCCTCTGTGAAATGGAACAGTAGAGAAGCTGCCAGAGGGGGCTACCAGGGACTTCCCACCTTCTTTCTCTTCTGTCACTTCTTTCAAGGCATCTCCTTTCTTTCTTCTTCTCCATTTGCCTAGGCGGCCTGGTGCCAGGTCATTAGGCCTCAAGTTCAGGGTTGGGGGCGTGCAGCTGACCTTCCCACGCCAGCAACTAATCTCTGTTCTCCAGTCTCCACTGACTTATCTCAGACCATAGCCAGTCTGTGCCAGTCACCTCCACGGCCCTGCGGGCAGTCACGGAGGGTACTCTATCTCTGGATGCACACGGCTTCCCCTGTCTGGGCCGCCGAGACCCTCCCATGGGCTGAGGAAGCCTGAGGGACAATACCAGGAAGCCAGGCCTTTCACCTCAAGCCTGGCTTGGACCAGCACCCACCCCTGGGCCTGGCCTGAGCACCTTGCTCTTGTGCCGGAACATTCTAGCTTGTGATCAGCCTGTCCTGCCTCTTTAGGGAAACCGAGGCCCAGAGAGAGGGGAGCGTTGGCGGAGCAGGTGGCCGGATCCTGCCCGTATGCGGGTGTTGTGTGTTTCACCCAGACAGCTGGTGACCTGACAGGCTCTGTTAGGGGACCCAGACCGCAACAGACAAACACTTTACTGTGGGAATAAAGCTGCTTCCCTCCAAGAAGGGGCCAGGTTTGGAGGGTGACTGGGGGAGAGTGAGGCCAGCCTGAAGGACTGAAAAGAACTTTTATGAAGCTACTAGAGGGCTTTCCTCTGGAAGGGTCCCCTCATCCCCCCCTCCACTTCCCCCAGCCATGGTCTGGGATAGTCTCCAGGACTCCTCAGGTCATTTAGGCCCACTGGGGTTCCCTGAAGCATCTCTGGCCCCACAAGGATGTGCAACTGCAGCCAATGACTTTTTGAAGCCAGCTTATGCGGCGGGGGGGGGGGGGGGGGAACAACCAGTTCTCGTTCCCCCCCATTCAGGGACCCTTGGAAGAAAGCAGTGTGTGTGTGTATGTGTGAGCGTGTGCGTGCCTGCGTGCACGCACGGCTGCCCCAGGACAGGGAGAAAGGGAAATGTGTTTCCTGACCTGTCCTCGAGGGTGCTATGTCAATGGTGACAGTGGCTGTGGGACCTGGCCCAGGCTGTTCCCATGGTGACCAGATCACTGACTGTCCAAACAGGGACATTTCTGAGAATGTAAGGACACCATTGAGGATTATGCCGGGGCCGCAGGTATAAACTGGGACTGTCCCAGGCAGAGTGGTCTCCCTACCTTTGTCCCTTTCAGCCTCAGTTTCCATATCTGTAAAGGGATTCAGTTGAACGAGACAATTTCTACATTCCTCCCCAGTCCCTCAAAATCTGTTGTTTGGCCTGAGGATTTTTTTAATAGTCCCTTTTGATGACACCGAGGAATGCTCACATTTACTGCATAATTACTGCACTAGTCACTGTTTTGAACGCTTTCTGTGAAGTCTTGGGCCCGTCCTCTAACCTGCGCCAGGAAGTGATAGTGACAATTATAACCAACAGCCATCATTTATTGAGCACTTACTGTGTGCCAAGCACCATGCCCTGTACCTCAACTGCTTTAGGCTTTGTAACGACCTTCTGAGGAGGTAGGTATCCTGTAATTGGCCCCATTTTACAGATGAGGAAACTGAGGCACAGAAGCTAAGTAGCTTATCCAAGGTCACAGAGCCAGAATCAGACACAGAATCAAACCTTCCTGGGCATGTGGTCTAAGCCTATTTTCTTCTTTGCTGAGAAAATTGCAGACCAGAGAGGCCTGGTGACTTAGCCCAGCTCACACAGCACTCAGAACATGAGTAGGAGGACCAGACCCAGGCTGGCTCTTGGGGCCCCGTGCTGCCTGACTTCTCAGGCTTAGAGCTGACTCCTGGCACCCAGTCTGGGCCTTGGAGGCCTGTGTCATGCCTGTTCGCTCATGGTTATATTTGGGCTCGGGTGTGGCTGGGGCTGTCGGGTTGGGAGGAGGAGGCAGGGTGCTGGGAGGGAACCCCGCAGTGAACAAGCCCCTATATTGTCAGCAGCACGTGGGCAGAGCTAGAGGGAGGGAGATGGAAGAATAAAAATAAACTTTTCTGAGCAGCCGCCCAGCTGGGCAGAGAAGGTTCTGTTTCTCCTCTCGGCCACCCAGGTCCAGAAAAGATGACCAGTCCCTCCTCGCCCTCCATGACTCAGACCTGCCTGCCCTCCCCCCACCAGAAAAAGTAAGCTCCCTACCTCACTGAGGCTTCGAGACCCCCCGTGAGAGACAAAGAGAATGAGAGGTGCTTTGGAGGACAGGCAGCTCAGGGCCTAGAGATCTGGGCTCAGATGCTAACTTTGCCCCAGGTCCCTAGGGTATCCTGGGGAGACTCCCGTTCTCTCTGGGCCTCAGTTTTCCCACCTGTACAAGGGGTCTCAGGGAAAGCAGGAAGGGTTGAGGTACTTCATAAAGTGTCAAATGCTGTGGGGGGGCTGGTTATAACTACCTCCTTGGAGCTGCCTCTCTGGAGACACAGAGGGAAAAGCCGTAGAGGGCACTGGGGAGACAAACACCTAGAGGCTGTATGGGCCCGCAGCTGCCAGCCAGGGGCCTCCCAGACGGGTTCCCGGGGGACGTCAGAGGACCAAGGTCCCATCCCACTCAGAGTCTGGGCCTCTTCTTCTGAAAGGAGGGGCTGCACCCTCACAGGTCAAGGATTTAGGTGGGAATGGAGCATCTGTTGGTGCTACAGATGGACAAACTGAGCCCAGAGAAGGGGATGGTATGGTGCACAGTCATGCCAGCCCAGGCAGCGAGGCGGAGACCCTGCCCCACGCGGAGCGGTCCCCCCTCCTGGGAGACAGCTGTCTGGGTGGGAACCTGCTGTGTGCCCGTGACCTGTTGCATTTTCTCACAAAAGCACCCTGCAAGGTTGGGGTCCGATCCTCGCTTTAGAGGCGAGGAAACCGAGAGGCTCGGGGAGATGAAACCTCTGGCCCACGTTCCCTCGATGGTGGGCAGCGCAACCAGACCTCTAAGCCCAGGCCGAGGCCCCCTGCCCAGGCTTGTGCCGGCTCCTGCCAGCTCCGGCTCCCAGCCACCCGCTCTTCTCCGTCAGGCCCAGCCCCCAGCAAGGAGGCCGGCACCAAGGCCCGCTTCCCGCTGTCCGATGCCGCGGAGGAAGGTGCCTGGACGGCCGAGGTGGTGGCCCAGGAGGATGGTGCCCTCTCGCTGCAGCTCGGCACCCCGCCGAACGCCCCCGTTGGCCTGTACCGCCTCAGCCTGGAGGCCTCCACCGGCTACCAGGGCTCCAGCTTCATGCTGGGCCACTTCACCCTGCTCTTCAACCCCTGGTGCCCAGGTAAGTGCCTGCCATCGGCAGGGCGGGGGTTGTGGGGGGGGGGGGAGATGGGCAGGGCGGGGCAGGGCGGGGCCGGCCCCTGGGGGCCACGGGGGGTGGGGCCATGGGGCAGAAGGACACCAAAATGGATTGAGTGAAGCCCCCTCGGTGCAGGGCCGCGCTCCGGCCTCACAAAAACCTTGCGACGTGAGTACCCTTATTATTCCTGCTTATGGAGGAAGAGACAGGTGCTCGGAAACAAAAAGACTTGCCCAAGGCCACACAGCTGCCAGGGGGCCTCACCCTGTGCCTGAGGTCATGTGTTCCATGGCACTGTGAACCGGACACGGACATATCTCCGGTTCCGAGCCCCGTTCAGGAACGAGCTGCCCAGGGGAGGCCCAGGGCCGTGGCCCCACGCCTGGTTCTGTTTGGGGGTGGGGAGAGGGGGGGACTCTGTTTGGAATCCCACCAGATTGGCTTGGGGAGGGGAAACTGAGGGAAGAGGAGGGGTGGGGGGTAGCCAGGAGAGGTGGGCAGGAGCAGTTTGGTTACTTAAGAGTCTCCTTATCCGGTCCCTCCATCCTGCCTCCCAATAATCCCAAGGAGGAGATGGTCAGCATCCTCACTTCACAGACAGGAAGCAGCTCAGAGAGGTCAAGTGCTTTGGAGGGTCCTCAGTAAGTGGACGATGATGGGTGAAACTAGCAAGTTGCAGGGGACAGCTCAGAAGAAAGGAGGCTGGCTCGAGGAGGGAGGGGGAGGCAGGGGCTGCCGCACCCTTTTCCAGGCCTCAGTTTCCCCATCTGACTCACGGGGCAGTCAAATCCATTTCTTTCTTCTCTTCTCTTCTCTTCTCTTCTCTTCTCTTCTCTTCTCTTCTCTTCTCTTCTCTTCTCTTCTCTTCTCTTCTCTTCTCTTTTCTTGATCCGTTTCTTTCTTGCTCCTGCCTAGCAAGGCAGAGAGAGATGACTTGTGGGCAGGCCTGGAAAGGGGGTGTCCCGCATCAAAGCTGGGGTCTAGCCACAAAAGTCCAGCCTCTCCAGCCTCAGACAACCGGTTTCTTACTGGACCACTGCTTTATTTTCTCTTCCCCACTGGGAGCATTTTATAACATATTTAAGGGGAAAGATGTTTTATTTTCTCTTTTACATATTTTGCCTCTAATCTTTTTTTAAGTTTATTTATTTTGAGAGAGAGAGAAAGGGCGAGTGGGGAGGGGCAGAGAGAAAGGGAGACACAATTCCAACAGGCTCCACACTGTGAGCACAGACCCCGATGCGGGGCTCAAACCCAGGAACCGGGAGCTCATGGCGTGAACTGAAATCAAAAGTCAAGGTGCTCAACCGACTGAGCCACCCGGGGCTCCAGCTTTCATTTTTAGTTATAACAGTAAGACCTGAGAGCGTCCTCTTCATATGAGCTTTAAGCATCAGGGAAAGAGCCCCGCTCCAACTCTCCCCCTCAGGGAACATCATTATTAGCTGTTCTGGGGGACTCGTCTCCTTAGATTCGAGTGTGTGTGTCTGGAGACATCGCTGTGTTGATGGGTTTCTCCGTCTCTCTTAAACGTAAAAGGATCCCACCGTATACATCAGCTTACAGCTTATTTAACTTTTCTCCTCTGCCACACATCCGGAGGATTTTCCTCATCGGTGTGCGTACGTCTGCTTTTTCTTTTCAAGAGCCCAGAATGTGCCACATCTTGCCAGTGTGGACGGTTCGTTGATCTGGCCCTGCACCCGGGGACATGAGGGGTCCTCATGGTCATTGATCTGGCCCTGCACCCCAGGGGGTCTCCACAGGGACGACCCCTCATCCTTGTCCACACGCCCGGGGGCCCGCATGGAATGGTTTCTTGGGGGCAGAACTGGCTTCGCTGGACCCTGCTGTAGATGCGTTTTGATCTCGCCGGTCTGCAAAGCCGCAGCTAGCTGCCAGCCCTGCGCACAGAGCAGGAAAATGCCAGTGGCCCCCGCTTGTCAACACTGTAGGGTCTCAAAGTTCAGGGAACAGGGAACGGGTTCTGGGGCTGTCCCCTTCCACTGGCCTTTCCTCCAGCCCTGCCCCATCCCCGCCCTGCGGATTGGGGTGGCTGTCGGCCAAGCAGCACAGTGACTAAAGTGACCCACATCCCAGGGCGGGAGCCCGGAGGGGACAGTGGAGCTGGTGATGCTGAGGCAGGAAGTTGGGCTCAGTGGAGGTGTGGGTGTGGGTGGGGTAGGAAAATTGCTGTCCCTCCAGGGCCTGCCTTGAAACCTGAGCCTCCTGTCCCGGGGTGTGAGGGGGGGGTGCCGTGGTGCGGGGGTGAAGGGGTGGGGGAGGGGATTCTCATCCCCAATGTGCCACCTTGACCAGTAGAGACAGTCCCTGCCTCCTGAGCCAGGGTGGGGACGAGCTCCCAAGTGCTGATGCTCTCCTCATAGTGACGAAAACACTCTGGGTTTTTCTTTCTCTTTCGCTCTCCCGACCTCTCTGCTGACTTATCATTACCAAGTTCATTTACCGTAAGGCTATTTTTATTGCAGCCCTGGAGCCAACAGTGCAGGACATATAAGACCAAATACTTGGCCACTTTCACATTTGCTTCCTCCATTCAATAAGAGGGGGGTTGGGGACAGGCCGGACAGAGCCCGGCGACCCAAGGGGCCTGAGCAGCTGCATTCCAGGCCAGTGCCACCATATTTTTAGGGACCCATAGAAATATTTTAATTTCTTTTAAAATCATGAGAAAAAAAATGAATATTTAGGTCAGAGAATATGTTTTAATATGTAATATTAATATCATTGTCATTATTCCAATGCAGTCATAAAATATATTAAAATTTTTTTTTTTTTTTTTGTGGAGGAAGGGGCCCGCAGAGGCAAAAGAGCCCAGGGGCCCCCAAAGTCACGGCGTGGCCCTGGATCTCCTCTCTCCAGCCTCAGCTTCTTTACCTGGGAAGTGGGGAAGGTCAAGGCCAACCTGACCTTTGACTCCTGCCCTCGGGCCCCGGCTGCCGCGGCCCTATTTTCTGTGGTCAGCAGCCGCAGGGAACTAAGTGCCTGGCGTTTTCCAGGAGCGGCGCCTTTGGTCTCTCTGGTCCTCTGCTTAGAGTATCATCCCGCCAGACTCCAAGTATCTAAATTGTAGTCCTTTATCAAGGCAGCGTTCAGAGGCCACCTGTTCCAGACGGCCCTCCCTGAGTCCCCCAAGCCAGACTGGACCCCACTTCCCCTGAGCTTCGGTGACCTTAGTAGGCTTTCTCTCTGCCTCGAATCACGCTCCTTCTCACACTGGCCGAGGACTTTAGCTTGCAAGGAAAGCACCTTTCAGATCTGCATTCCATGTGACTCTCAGGGAACACAGTTCCTGAGAACCAAAGTGGATGGAGAAGGAGAAGTGGCCTCCCCAGGGTCACACAGCAAGTGAGGATCAGCCAGGAGATTCCTGACTCCTGGTCCGGTGTTCCTCTATCTCTTGTGTTGGCATCAGTTTTCCCATCTGTAAAATGGGCTTTCGAGGTCCCTTTCTCATAGAGCTCTTATAGAGGTTAAATGTTAATACAGGTGTCATACACTCATCACGGGCCCTGACACCTTATCTCCCTGATACGGGATGATTCATTAATGATTAGGTTTTCTGATGAAAAGATAGAAGGGTCTCCGAGGCTCTGGCCCGGCCCTAGTTCTAGGTACCCTGGCTGCCACATCTGTGACGACCCCGCGCCCTCCCAGACCCAGTGCTGAGGCCCCTTCTTTCCTGTCCCCAGGAGATGCTGTGTACCTGGACTCAGATGAAGAGCGGCAGGAGTACATCCTCACCCAGCATGGCTTCATCTACCAGGGCTCGGCCAAGTTCATCAAGAACATACCCTGGAACTTTGGGCAGGTACAGCCACACGCCGCCCTTCCCACCACTGCAGGCCCACTGTGTGCTGGGCCCTGGGTCTGAGGCACTGGGAGATGCAGAGGTGTGAGCTGGTGTCAGACGGGCGACCGCATGCTGTCAGGGATTCAAGGGCCCCCACATGGCTACAGGCTCAGAGCGGGCCCAGGCCAAGCCCGAGATCGTGCAGCAAAGGGTTGCCCTACCCACTATGGGAATGGCAGCCCCAGATTCAAGGTGGGGAATGAATTAGGAGTGCCTTTGGGGATTGTGGGGCCAGTAGGTACTCCAGGAGGGAGGAGGGGAACAGTCAAGGCTATATAACTAAATAATAAAAAAGCCTTACTATGTGCTAAGTAAGTGCTAAGAGGGGCCTTTGAACCATCATCACGATCAGTGGTTCTCAAACTTGAATATACATCAGAATCACCAGAAAAGTGTGTTAAAACAGACCACCAAGTCCCACCTTTAGTTTCTGATTCAGTAGGTCTGGGTGTGGGTTGAGAATTTGCATTTCCAACTAGATTGCAGATGCGCTGGTGCGCTGGTGCTGCTGACCAGTGGTCACACTTCGCGAACCACTGGTTGTATCAGTCAGCTACTGCTGAATAACAAACACACTCACAACAACAACCGTTTATTATTTCTTACAAATTTACGGGTCATCCAGAGCAGAGCTGTCTAGGCTGGGCTTGGCTGACCTCATAGGTGGCTCATCTCTGCTCCATGTGATTCTTCATCCTCCAGCAGGTCAGTCCAGGCTGGTGGTTCAAACTAGTGATCTTATTTCCTCTGCCATCCAGCCTCCCATGAAAATTCTTGAGACATGCTCATGCTGAGACATGAGATCATGAAGCAAGAGTTCTCATACTCCTGGCCCTTCAGCCTCCTGGTGTGTTAGGGGATGTTGGCCTTCTGGTGTGGAATTCCCCCTGAGACTTTTTTCAACAAGCCCTGGGTTGGGGCTTTCCGTACTCAGGCCTCCAGAGTCCTGCCCTGGGGGCCACAAGGAAGTCTTTCCTGTGTGATTTGGAGTTCTAACCTCAGTTTCCCCCTCTGAATATCGGGGATAATGATCGCAGGCATATCTGCCTAGGAACCTATAGCCTGCCGTGGGATGTACATTTAATGGTGATGTGACGGTGGTACATAAAATACATGGAAAAGTAAATTGGCTTTTATTTCCCAGGGCTCCGTATTTTCCCCTGACAAACAGAACAAAGCCAAGTCCTTCCTTTCCTTTCCTGAGTTCCTGTTTTGTGTCTAGGCTTGTGTGGAGCCACTGGCACAGCCCTTGTGAATCTTCCGGCAGCCATCACAATCCAGGATGATAAAGCTTAAGAGAAAGGAAGTGAATAATTGCCTATGGGGATCAGGAAGATTCCTGAAATAGGGCAAGGTCTGAGCTGGGCTTTGGAGGAGACGGAAGTGGGAAGTACAGTCTACTACTAGCCAAAGGGAACTGCCTGAGCAAAAATTCAGAAAAGTCATGCTTAAGAAGAATGTTGTAGCCTCGGGGAGACGTTAGCAGTGTCCCGGTGATGAATGTCAGGCTGATGGCAATAGAGAGCCACAAAGGGCTCAGAGCCACAGGGGAGCTGGTCTGCGGCATGGAGAGAGGCCTGTGATGAAGCCTGGTTTGGGATAAGACCACAGAGTTGGGGAGAAGGGGCCCCATTGCCTTTGGACTTGTCAGGCTAGGTGGTGCAGTGTAATGAGACAAAGAGGGAGGGTCCTCCTTTTAATAATGACAATGAGGACGAGAAGGTGTGAGCCATACAGATAGTAGCAGGAAAAAGATTCCGCACAAAGGAAATAGTAAGTGCAAAGGCCCTGGGGCAATGAGTGTGGGTGGGAGTGGTGGTAAGAGAGCAGAGATGGGGTGTGGCCCAGACTGTGAAGGGCCTTGCAGGTCCCAGGGAAAGTCTAAATTGTATTCTGGGTGCACTGGAAACAGGAGTCATAAGACTAGACTTAATATACATAATTTACCTCAGTTCCAATCAGGGCGATGCTGATGCGTGGGGGTGGGATGGGGGGAGGAGAGGATTCTTATCAGCTCTGCAGGGTGAGTCAGACCTTAGGGGAAGTGGGATAATTGGTGGAGGAGAGATGGGAAAGGTCCAGTGGCAGGGCCTGAGGTGACTCCGAGGACAGGGAAGCTCCAGGGACACTGTGGTTTCTACTCCAAATTCCCAGGACTCCCCTCCCCCCACCTCCCCCAACCAGCCAGTCTCCAAATGCACGCACATCCCCTTCCTTTTTCTCACACTTTGTCGTTGTTGCACCCCACCCCATCCTGGGACACACAAAGCTGGCATCCCAGAGATGTGGCAGACCCAGCCTGGACCTCCCTAGTGTGAGAGGTGGAACAGAGAGGACCCATGGCTGCAGAGCTTCAAGGCAGGCTTCCTGGAGGAGGTGTCTTCTCATTTCCCTCATCCTCCTCTTATTCCTTGCAACACAGTTTGAAGACGGGATCCTGGACATTTGCTTGACGCTCCTGGACATGAACCCCAAGTTCCTGAGGGACGCCGGCCGTGACTGCTCCCGCCGCAGCAGCCCCGTCTATGTGGGCCGGGTGGTGAGCGGCATGGTGAGTGAGCGGCTGGCACACCCCAGGGCCGAGGCCCGTGATGGGCCCCTGTAGGCTCCTCCCTTCCCGTGATGATGGAGGCTGTGCTCCACCCTGGGCTCGGTCGAGGTCTGTCAGCTAAGAGGGCTTAGGTTTGGAAGGACAGGATTTACACAAAGAAGGGTAATGTCATGTGGTCCCTAATTCATTCATTCATTCTCTCATTCAGCAGATATTTATCAAGTGCCACCTGCGTCCTAGGCACTGGGGCAATCGCTGGGTATAAGATGTGCATGGTCTGGTGGGTGGGTGAGGGGAGACAGACATTAACAGAAACGTCATGTGACTGAGTACACAATCATAGACCACAAAGCACGTACTGAAGGAGCCAGAGCTGTGAGTGTCTAACTGCAGAGGCCAGCGTCAGGGAGGAGCTGTGGCGGACCCTCCCTAAGTGATGATCCTGAAGCTGCTATAGTAACTAGGAGAAGAGCATTCCACGCAGGGGGCGCAGTTTGTGCAAAGGCCCTGAGGCAGCGAGGAGCAGAAAGGGGGCTGGTGCAGCTGGAGTGGAGTGAGCAAGCGGGTGTGGGGCACATGACGAGGGCAAGGGTTAGACCATGCAGGCCTCATGGGCCACGGTCAGGAGGCTGGATGTTATACTCGAGGCAGTGGGGTTTGAGAGGAACGACATAGTCTGGGGAGGGGCCAGAGAGGGTCTTTGAAAAACTCAGATCACATCCCGCCACCCCAAGGACAAATTCACGTCTCCAGCATCGCCTTCACAACCTCGGCCCCTCACCGCCTGCTCCCTTCCCCTTCTCCCCCACACCCAGGGCTCCGGCCCCAACCGTCTCCCGCATACCAGCCTGTCACACCTCGGTATCTTTGCACGGGCTGTTCCCTCATCCTAGACTCCCTTCCCTGCCTTTCACCAAACACTGAACTCACAGCACCTGCTGCCCAGGCCGGGTCCCTCTGATGCCCCCGCTGGTTGTAGGTCAACTGCAACGATGACCAGGGCGTGCTGCTGGGGCGCTGGGACAACAGCTACGGGGATGGCATCAGCCCCATGTTCTGGATCGGCAGCGTGGACATCCTGCGGCGCTGGAAGAGCTCCGGCTGCCAGCAAGTCAAGTATGGCCAGTGCTGGGTCTTCGCTGCCGTGGCCTGCACTGGTGAGCGGTCCGCGGGGCAGGGGGAGGGCCTAGAACCAGCCCCGGGACGGGGCAGGGAGAGCTCTCAAGTGGGAATCGGGAGCCCTCCGTTCCAGTCCTGCCTCTGCCTCCCACAGCACCAATGCACTGTGTGGCCTGGAGCCAGCGGCTGCCCCTCTCTGGTCCTCTTTCCAAGGCCTCGTGGTTATTAGGACCAAGGGGTGTCGTTTGGGAGGCAGCCTGGGGTCAGGGTTGACAACATGGGCTTTGGAGCACACCTGAGTTAAAAATCCCCAGTAACAGTCACCTGCTCTGTGACCTTGAGCACATGGCTTCTTTCTGAACCTCAGTGTCCCCATCTGTAAAATGGGGGCAAAAGGACCTATCTCCCAGGGTGGGTTGATATAAAGCTGCTCGGCCTAGCATTCGGCCTAGCAGCTCTCAGTAAATATTAGCTATTTGTAGCTTGATAATAACAGTAATCAATGTCAAGAAAGAAAGAGCACTCTCTGAACTGCAGACGAGGACAGACAAAGCCATTTAAAACCAAGAAGGAAAATAAATCTTAAAAATTCAAGCCCAGAAAATGCTGAAGATTGTTCCGGGTTGATGATGGTGCTTATGGGAATGGGTTCATAGCCTGAGCCAGTTAAAAACATAGACGCTGGAGTCAAGGCCTGAATTCAGATCCCAGCTCTGCTTTACCCCCTGTGTCCCTGATAGTCATGGACCTTCTCTGAGCCTCAACTCTGTCACCTGTGACATAACAGTGCCTTGATCCAGGGCCATTGTGAGGACTGAAGGAACGAACATGCGTGAAGTGCTGGAAATGATTTCCGATGCGTAACGGCAAATACTTATGCTCTGTTAGTCTTCCCACACTTGCTACCACTGCTGTCGTTATTTCTTTTTTTTTGTTTTTTTAAATTTTTTTAAATTTTTTTTATGTTTTATTTATTTCTAGGAGAGAGAGAGACAGTGTGAGCAGGGGAGGGTCAGAGAGAGAGGGAGTCACAGACCGAAAGAGGCTCCAGGCTCTGAGCTGGCAGTCAGCACAGAGCCCGACGCGGGGCTCGAACCCATAACCGCGAGATCATGACCTAAGCGAAAGTCGGACGCTTAACCGACTAAGCCACCCAGGCGCCCCTGCTGTCGTTATTTCTTAAGCTCAGGAAATCTGAGAAGCGGGTGCCGGTCCCCAGCTTCTCGGACTCCGGGACCAGCCCAGGGACTCTCAGGCTGTCTGTTTGGAATCCCGCCTCGGCCTCCAGCCCCTGGGGGAACTCGGGCAAGGGAGCCAGTGTCCCCATGCCTGTCTCCCCACCTAGTGGATGGACACAATGGCGACTGACCAAATTCACCGGGAGCCCTCAGGACATGGGCCGATGTCACTTAGTTGAGTCTGTGGTTCAAGTTAGGCTTGGGTGTGTGGAGGGAGGAAGCTGGGATTCCTCAGCTGGATCCTGGAGCCTTCTTGAGATGTGCGCGAGCCGGCCAATGGTGACTGGCTGGGCGTTAGCAGTGACGGGCACCACTGTGCCCTTCTGCCCTGGGCCCCGGGGCAGACGGTGCTGCCCACGCCCGACCAGCAGGCTCTCTGAATCACCACATCCCTCCCCCCGTCCAAGCTGCTATTGTTACCTCCTGCAGAGGAGGAAGTGGAGTCCCAGAGAGGGGAAGTGCTTGCCCAAGGTCGCACAGCTGGTGAGCAGCACAGCCAGGCTTGAACCCAGGTGTCCTCAGTCCTGGGGCAGCCTCGTGGCCTGAGACTGTGATGGTGAGGCCTCTTGGGACACTTTCTCTCGGACACAGGGGGCACCTTACTCCCCAGGGACAGGCCTTCCCCACCCACCCACCCCACCCCCCACCCGGTCTACATTCTGAGGCCCGTCAGGAGGTGACAGGGTGGGGCCTGGGGTCAGGACACCAGTCTCTGCTAAAGGGCAGCAAAGAGTCAACCGCCCAGGTCTCAGGAAAAGCAACCGGGAGGCGAAGGATCGGCACTGTCCGTCCCCTTCCCCTCCCCGGGGCCCTCGTGTCCCCTGGCCAGCATCCAGGGCCGCCCAAGCAGCTCTTGGCCGGCCTAAAGGCGGGCAAAGGGTAACAGAGCCAAGGTCACATCCGCCCCGCCCCCCACTGACCCTCTACCTCAGAGACTCAATCTCCGTCAAAAATAAAGGGCAAAAGTCCCACAGGTTACAGCTGGTAAGGCTTCCCTCGCTGTTTAAAAGAGATTTTTATTTTATTTTATTTTCCTTGTCCCATTATAAAAAATGGGGGAGTGAAAAGACTCCCAAAATGGCACCTGTCAGGAGCACCCCGTGGCCCCGGCCTCCCTTCCCGCCCCAGCCTGGCCCTTCCCCGGTCCCCACGGCCTCTGTACACTGTGCTGCGGCGTGAGCATGGGGCCCTCCTCTGCCCCCGTGGTGGCCCTGACTGCGCACCACAACCCCGTGTGGTGGAAACAAGGCCCAGAGAGGTAGAGGGACGGGTCCCAGGTCACCCAGCCCACAGCAGCCAGGGCTTGAATGCAAGCCTCTCCCTCCTCCCCACCCCCCACCCGGACCCTTGTTCCCTCTTCTGCCTGCTCCACTGTTTGCTCCTCACCCTGAATCTCTGCAGATCCCTTGCTCCTTCCCTCACCCCCTCCCTCCTCCTCTCCTCTCCTCTTTCTGCTTCATCCGTTTGACAAAATGGCCTGTGCCGGGGCTGTGCTGGGGGCTGGGCCCCTAAAGGAAGACAGATCCCTGGCTACTTTCAGAGGACTAGTTAAATACCCCTCACGTGCCCCTACATTGAGAATGATGCTAAATCCCCAGGCTTGCCACAAATGCAAATGAAATAATCTAAACCTGGTGGGGGGGGGAAGGGGAGGGGTTTCCAGGATGAGGGAACAGCATGTGCCAATGCCCTGTGGCTGGCAGGAGTGTAGACTGCTGGAGGAACAGCAAGTGTGGCTGGAGCAAAATGTGCAGGAGGTGGTCAGGGGCCAAACCTTGTACGGCCAGAGGCCATAGCCCGAAGTCTGGCCTTGACCTCAGTGGCCACAGGGAGACATTGAAGGCTTAGCAGAAGAGTGTCGATGTCAGACTTGCATTTTGGGCACTTCTTCTGTTAGCTGTGATGGGAAGGGCCAGAGTGGACCTGGGGTGGCCAGTGAGGTGGGGACCACCATCCGGGTAAGGGGATGGTGCCCACCCTCACTACCTGGACAATGAATACAATGCTCCCTGGGCTACAGACGGGCATGTGGAGGCCCAAAGCAGGCAGGTGTCTCCAGAGCCTCAGCCATCCCCTCACCCCTCCTCTCTGTCACATCCTCCTCCCACCCTAGTGCTACGGTGCCTGGGCGTCCCCACCCGAGTGGTGACCAACTATAACTCGGCCCACGACCAAAATAGCAACCTTCTCATCGAGTACTTCCGCAACGAGTTTGGGGAGATCCAGGGTGACAAGAGCGAGATGATCTGGTGAGCTGGGGCCCGGGGTCCGGGGTAGGGCCCACTGGGGAGGGGACCGCAGAACGGAAAGCTGGGAAGACTCCTCAGAGGAGGTGACATTTGAATTGGGGTTGAAAGTGGAACGGAATTTGGCCAAGGGGAACAGGACCTGGGGAGGGCTCTCCAGGTAGGCCCACAGCATGAGCGAAGGCAGGGAGGGGGAAAGTCATGGAATGGGTGAAAGGGTGTCAGGGGAATGGGTTTTCGGGAGTCTGGAATGCCGGGTTCAGGGGCCTGGGCTTAACTACAAAGGCAACGGGTTGTCACCAAAGGCTTCCTACTTGGAGAGGGACACAGATGACACTGGAGCAGGAGGTCAGAAGGGGGCTGGGTGTGGTCCGGGTGCGCAGGGGTGAGGCAGAGCCCGTGGGCTAGAAACGGAGGGACAGCCTGGAGGTGAGGAGGTCCCGTCAGCTGGACTGGAGGGGCCGCTGACGGGGGAGGGCAGTGGGAGGGGCGCTCGCAGTGACCCCGGGGGTCGGAGCGAGCGCCTGGCCAGGGCCCAGGGGAGGAAGAGCAGAGAAGGGGGTCGGGACACCCTGGGCTCAGCTTGGGACAGGCGAGTGTGGACCGGCCGCGGGAGGGGACGGCAAAGGTCTGAGTCCTGGTTCCCCCACAGGAACTTCCACTGCTGGGTGGAGTCATGGATGACTAGGCCAGACCTGCAGCCCGGCTACGAGGGGTGGCAGGCGCTCGACCCCACGCCCCAGGAGAAGAGCGAAGGTGGGTGAGCGCTGCCTCCTTCCCCAGGCGGGGAAACTGAGGCCTGGAGGGGACTCCCCCACGATCGCTTGGCCGGTCCTAACCCCAGTCTGGCTGCCTCCAGAGGCCACTGACTAGTCCGCGCGAGGGTGGGGTCCTCCGTGACCATGTACATAATTCACACTCATCGCGGAAAAGAGATTATGAAAAAAAAAATCAAATTGCGTCTTTGTCCTCGTCCCCTGCAAAGGAAGCATCATTAACGTTCACACACAGCTTCCAGTCATTTCCTATTACATATTTGTTTGTATGTGTGTGAAAGAGAGAGACAGAGACAGAGAAAGAGAGAGGGAGAAAGAGAGACAGAACACCAAGCCAAAATTAGGTGAAACCAAATGGGTCCTTTCTCAGAATCACATTTTTTAAATGCATGGAATATATTATCTAGGGTAACAAAGAAAAGCAATTACACCGAACATAGTTATCAACATTAAAAAAAAAAAATGTGTGATCTAATAATATATGCCTTACCAAACAAGATCTAGTAGTGGAGATAGTAAGTTCCATTATGTACTGATAGAGACGCATATGAGTGATATTTCCAGTTATCTACGACAACTATAAAGTGATATATAAATATCTGTGGTCCTTATGGTGACAAGTCATAAGTGCCTCTAAGACTATGGTCTGGCTGCTCACACGATCAAAAGAAGCATTATCAAAATTCAATGAAGATAAAGATGCAATTTTTTCCATCCAAGTTCATGGGCCTCTGAATTCCATCTGCAGTGCTTTGGGGGCCCATGGTCCCTGCACTAAAATCTCCGGCTGCATGTGGCCTTTTGTCTTGGCTCTGTCACTTCTCCGTATATCATTGACATTTCTCTATCGGAGAGTTTTCTGTGATTTTAATTTTAAAATAATGGTGCTGTGTTCCATCAAATGGATAGATTGAGGGCCTCTAGCCCTCAGCCTTTAACTGTGTTGACCAGTCGGAAGTAGTTGTAAACCCCACGGAGATGAACACCCAGCTCTCCTGTTCATTCAGTCAACTTGCTCTCCCCGAGAACGCTGCTGGTCACTGGCTGTAGGTCTCTGCGCTAAACTCACATGGCATTTAGTATATGCAAATCCTCATTAGGTGGGTACAAATATCCGCACATAAAGCAGGCTTAGAGAAGTGAAGTGACTTCCTCAAGGTCACACAGCTAATAGAAGGCCAGCTGAGATTTGAATCCCAGAGGCTGGGCAGGCTACAGAGCCTCCATCCTTCATTCTTAGTCTCTACTGCCTTCCTAGAAACGGAGTCCCCGAGTCAAAGGGCTGATAGTGTTGAGATTCTTTGCTACCTGTGGTTGAAATGTGGGAGGTGTGAGAGGGTGCTGCCGCCCCCCCCCGCCACACACACTCAGCCTAGGCGCGTCTCTCCTCCTCCCCCCAAACAGGGACATACTGCTGTGGCCCCGTTCCGGTCCGTGCCATCAAGGAGGGTGACCTGAGCACCAAGTACGATGCACCTTTTGTCTTTGCCGAGGTCAATGCCGACGTGGTGGATTGGATCCGGCAGGACGATGGGTCGATACACAAGTCCATCAACCGCTCCCTGGTCGTGGGCATGAAGATCAGCACTAAGAGTGTGGGCCGTGATGAGCGGGAGGACATCACCCACACCTACAAGTACCCTGAGGGTAGGCGCTTCGCCCCGCAGAGCCTTCAGCACCGCCTTACACACGAGCAGCTCTTTCACCAGCCAGTGGGCTTGCGTGCTCGCACACACGCACACACGCACATGCATATGCCTTTCCTTTGGCAGCCTGCGTACAATAATGACCTGTAGGTTACTCTCCACTTGACTTATTCTTAGAAAAAAAGCACACTGGGGGGCACCTGGGTGGCTCAGCCGCTGGGGCATCGACTTCTGCTCAGGTCGTGATCTCGCAGTTCTTGGGTTTGAGATCTGCATCAAGCACACTGCTGTCAACGCAGAGCCCTCTTCGGATCCTCTGTTCCCCTCTGTCTCTGCCCCTTGCCTCCCACCCCCCTCTCAAAAATCAAACAGTAAAAAAAAAAAAAACTTGGAAAAAAAAACCACCCTGGGAGACAGTGGTATAGGATTATTCATTTAGGGAAAATATTCTGCATTCCATAAAAGGACTCCATTTGGTTTTTTTAAGCCTTGCTTTTTTGGCTGGTTTGACTCAAATAAAACTGAAGGGATGACAGTTATGTAGGAGAGGCATGAATCTGAACAGAAAAATTAATGAGGTCTATGCTGCTTATTAACAGTATTTATCGTAGTGGCATCTACAATTGAAGATGGGCAAATCCCACCCCCCTTTTTTTTATTGCAACATATTTGGCCTAGAAATGCATGAAAGCCACAGAAGAGAGATTCCAGGAACTCTGTAGTGTTTATTTGTGCAGTATTTCACACACAGCTGGGGAGGTGAGCGTGAAGATGGATGGGTCAGGAGAGAGAAATGGAGCCAGAGAAACTTAGTCAGATAGCTTCCATCAGATACAAAGACAAAACTGCCTTCTGCATCTAACGTTGTCAGTAGAAGCAAAAAAAAAAAAGAGCACAGCTTATTTTAAAAAAATTTTTTTTAATGTTTTTTATATTTTATTTCTAGGAGAGAGAGAGAAAGAGAGAGAGAGAGAGAGACAGCGTGAGCAGGGGAGGGTCAGAGAGAGAGGGAGTCACAGACTGAAACAGGCTCCAGGCTCTGAGCTGGCAGTCAGCACAGAGCCCGACGCGGGGCTTGAACCCATGAACCGCGAGATCATGACCTGAGCGAAAGTCGGACGCTTAACCGACTAAGCCACCCGGGCGCCCCAAGCACAGCTTATTTTTAAAATTGCTTTTGAGTACATCCAACAGCCGATTCAACACAGTAGGCGTTTTATAAGCATCTACTGTGTGCCAAGCACAGGGTGCACTCACAGAGGCGANGGGGGGGGGGGGGGGGGGGGGGGGGGGGGGGGGGGGGGGGGGGGGGGGGGGGGGGGGGGGGGGGGGGGGGGAGAGGTGGGTAATAAATGGCCATTACTGAAGGGATGGCCAGAAGGGGTAAAACAGAAGGAAAAGGTGCTTTCCCTGGTCTCTGAAAGGTCAAGAGCTAATAGTGGGGTAAGAGAAGTAGATATGCACCCAGCAACACTGGGGAAGCTTTTAGGAGTGGGGGCGGGGAGAGAAGGTAAATTGAGCACCAAGAAGGGAGCTCCACAGGTAGGGAAAGGGAGGGAAGAGATCTCAGGCAGAAGTCATCCCCGTGCAAACACTTGGAGGTGAGAAAGTTTGCACTGTATTTGTGTTTACTACCCACCGAGCAGTGGGATGGGCTTTGGGTATGACCAAAAGATCAGTAAATTACAGTCTTCATCTTTTTTTTTAATTTTTAATGTTTTTTATTTATTTGTGGGAGAGAGAGAGAGAGACAGCATGAGCAGGGGAGGGTCAGAGAGAGAGGGAGACACAGAATCTGAAGCAGCCTCCAGGCTCTGAGCTGGCTGTCAGCACAGAGCCCGCCGCAGGGCTCGAATGCACGAACTGTGAGATCATGACCTGAGCTGAAGTCGGCATTTAACCGACTGAGCCACCCAGGTGCCCCACAGTCTTCGTCTTTGAGCAGCTGAAGAGGGCAAGTACATAAAGAGAAAACAACTTGGTTACATAAAACAACAACAACAACAACGACATGATAGGCAATCATGTGAAAACTCCAGAAGATATTGTGAATCATTTGTTCTGGGGAAAGAGTGGTCAGAGAAGGCTTCCTGGAGGAGGTGGGGGGGACGTTTGGGGTTGGGTCTTGAGGGATGTATAGGAGTTTACTTGTGGACAGTAAATAAAATATTCTTTCATCCTCCGGGCACAGAAATGTAGAGAAGGGGCTCCTTTGGAGCTGCTCTGCGTCACCAGGACCCTGAAAAGTCGCCCTCCCCTGTCCCAGCCTCCTTATCCTTGGTCCCTATTTCAACTCCAGTCTTCTCCTTCCTCACAGGGTCCCCAGAGGAGAGAGAAGCCTTCCAGAGGGCCAACCACCTGAACAAACTGGCTGATAAGGAGGAGACGGGGATGGCCATGCGGATCCGCGTGGGCCAGAGCATGAGCATGGGCAGTGACTTTGACGTCTTCGCCTACATCACCAACAACACGTCTGAGGAACACACCTGCCGCCTGCTGCTCTGTGCCCGCACCGTCAGCTACAACGGGATCCTGGGGCCCGAGTGCGGCACCAAGGACCTGCTCAGTCTCTCCCTGGAGCCCTTCTCCGGTAAGGCCCCATATTCGCGGAACAGTTACTGACCACCAACCCGCAATGCCCCAGGTAGTCTCCTGAGGCTTGGCATGCGAGGTGTACCTCATCGATGCTTCTGCGGCACTTCCTCTGGGTCAGACCCCACCCAAGTGCTTGGTAACTAGCAACTCATTTAATTCTTCTTTGGAGGTGGATTCTTTTATTACCCCATTTTTCAGATGAGAAGACTGAGCACCGAGAGGTTAAGCAGCTTTCCCAAGGCCACACAGTTAGGAAGTGACAGGACTGAGGCTTGAACTTGTACTCTTAGCAACTATACTGTTTGGTTCCATCTCATCTTCACGTGACCTTGGACTGCTTTCCCAGACTCTCCACTACCCACTTCCAGCAAATTCCTTTCCCCTGCCTACAGCACTTCCCATGCTGTGGGGGGGTCTCTCCCCACGGCCCCTGCAAGAACCTCTCCTGTCTCTCTGGAGGTTCTCAGCCTCTGAGAGAAGAGGTTCTAGGCTGGCTGCTCCTAGAATGTTCCGCCGTGCCAGAGCTGTTCCGTATCCACTCTGTCTAGTACGCTGGCGGCCAGCTCCATATGGCCGTTGAGCACTTGAAACGAGCCTGGCGCAACTGTGGAATTCACGTTTAATTTCACTTAATGGAAAGTTAACCAGTTTCGCGTGGCCAGAAGCCGCCATATTGGGCAGCACAGCTCTGAGAGCAATAGGAGAGGAAGCTGTCCTGTCCTCTGTGGCGGGACGTGTCTCCTCCCAGGCCTGACCCTCTCCTGACATGGCCCCCCGCTCCTGGCCTGGCCTCCCCGTGAGGCAGAACCCTGTCCCTGTTCTGTGCTAAAATCCTGTCACTCGAGGACCCGGCCTGCGGCCCCAGGCAGAGCTTCTGTGGCTCAAGCTTCTCAGTCAGAAGCCTGCATGGCCGCCTCCTTGGTTTCTCTCCCCGCTTGGCTTTGTCACTGCAGCTCATTATCTTCCTAAAGATAAGCCTGAGGCCCTGGGAGAGGCTGTGGCCCCTGAGGGCACACCATAAGGCAGCACAGAGCCTGGGGTCCTGTCCCCCAGCCGCCGCACCGATCCCGCTTAGCACCTTTGCAGCCCGTGGGCCTGGGGAGGCAGAGGGCTCTTGATGGCGGGAGAGGCCCTCCGAGCATCCGCTGAGGGGCAGTGAGGTGGGGTAGGCCACCCTCGTCCCAGGGCCTCAGAGAGGAAGGTCCCGCTTGCCGTGTCGCCTGGGCAAATGGCCACCTCCCTGAGCCTCAGTGTCCCCATTAGGCACGTGGGAGTTATGACCCAGCAGTGTGGGGCCTCCTGGCGGGGGACAGGCTGTGCACACAGCAGGGGCTCGGCGCCCCGAGTCAGTGAGCAAACTTGCAGAGCTGGTGGAGAGGCCCAGGGGCGAGTCCGTTTACGGAGCCTGCGTGCCCTCCGCCGCTGCCCCTGCTCTTGCCTGTCAAGCCCATGTTCCTCTCCTTTATTACCTCTGCCTCTGTCCTTGGCCTCCCCGGGCTGGCGTGTGGGGCCCAGCCTTGGAGTTCCTAGGAAGGCCTATCTGTGCTTCGGGCCTGCAGTCTGTGGTATTGACAGCGCCTCCTCCTGGTTTCTCTACCTCGGGTCCCCCATGGGCACTCCTGGAGCCTCGCACCCAGAGCAGACCGTCTGTCAGTGTCCCTAGGAATGGGCGAAGCCCTCGGAGGCAGAGCCACTGGCACCGGGGCTGGACACTTACGGCGGCTGGAACACCTGTGCCGAGGCCGGCCAGACCCGGCTTTGCCTCTGGCCTCCCCCACCTTCTAAATGTACAACCTTGGACAGGGTGACCATGCTCTCTGAGCCTCAAATCGTGCTCACCATTCAGGGGGTCAGTAGCACGTCCCCCCTTCCCCCCCGATGGGCCACTGTGAGGACTGAAGTCGACCCTGTGCTCTGGAAACATCTGGAAAGTGTATAACTGATCATGGGGAGGCAGAGGAGCCTTGTGGGTCTGTCCTACTGTGCCACATAATGGCCTCAGTGACGGGCTCCGGGGGTCCCGAGCCGCACCGAGGACCCGGCTGTCAAGTGTGTAGCCAGGCCCCCAGTGTCAGGGGCAGGGGTCCATCCCTGTGCCGTGGCCAGGACACCCAGGTCCACCACTCTGTCAATGGGCTGTGGCCCCCGGGCTCAGGTCTTCTCCATTCGAGGCATCGGGTTGTGCAAAGGCTGGCTCGTGTGCAAAGAGCCGTGCCAGCTCCTCTGTGTGAATGTACAGCCGTCAGGCTCTCCACATGCTCAGAGCTGCCCGAAAGGCAGGAAGTGTCTTTCCTGGAGCGTACGGCCCGAGGTGCACTGTCGCCCGGGCCAGGGATGCCACAACGACTTCCTTCCTGTTGAGTCACCCTTTGCCTCCCAGTTTACCATCTGCGCCCCTGGGGCGCTGTTCTCCCAGAGCTCGGCCAGGCCTGCCGGTGTTTCTCATCATCCGGGGATGTGTTCGCAGCAGAGCGGTCCGTCCTTGCTCGGAGAGCCTCCCTGCCCCGCACGGTCTGCAGGGGAGAGGCGGAGGAGGGCAGAGGGCCCTGTGCGTCGCCCTCGGGCCGCGAGCCCAGTCTGGGTTGCCTGACTGGGGCCTCCAATGCCAAGCTCAGCCTCAGACAGACGCTTTGGAGACCCCACACTTTGGCTGCCTGGCTTGTTATTCTTTGATGATAAGATCTGGGGACTTTCCACGGGCTAATTAATGGACAGGAAACCAAGCCTAGGACGGGGAACAGAATCCAGTCATCCCCACCCTGGCCTTCTTGCGTTGCCTCTCTCCCTTCCCCTTCCTGCCCCCATCCGCCCTCTGTCCCCTCCCCTCACCCCTCCAGGTGGGTCACTGGGAGTGCACCCAGTGTGGCCCCTGTGACCACGCCCAAGGCACCTTCTGGAACAGGGCAAGTCATCTAAGGAATGGCAGACTGACCACACAGGTTTTCTCCTCTCAGCCATCATCTGGCCCGAGGCCAAGGCCGTGGTCCCTGGTCCCAACCTGGCTTCAGCCTTCTGGAAAAGTCAACAGTTGGGACCACGTCCTCTAAGCTCCTGGAGGGCAGTGTTTTCCTTCTTTCCCATATAGCTGGCCAGAGTTTCCAGTCAGTTCCACCAGTTCCACCCTGACCCAGGGATGGTCACTCCTTTCTGTCTGTTTTGGCAGAAGGTTGGGGTTTCTTCCCCCACGTCATGTGCTCAGAGGTTGGGGCCGGTCCACCCTGGGACGGAGCAGCTGGGGCGCAGGGCACGCCGGAGCCGAGGCCCTAACTGGCAGGGGAAGGTGGCTGTCTGTCAGGCCCTCACGGTCCTGCGGACGCCCCGCGGGCAATGTCACCGCGGGCTCCCGAGCCCCGCACCCCTCACCCTCGCCCACCTCAGGCCTCGGCCAGAGCCCTCAGTAGACGAGAATACGTAGCTGGAACGGGAACGAGCCTGACTTGGCTCGTACTTATTTTTGCCAGTTCCTTCTGTTCATAGTAAACGACACGGGTTTGCCGCACATAACGTAAAGTGTCCCTAAGCAAGGAAGGTGGACAAGTATAACGCGAGCGGATGCAGAGAAGGACGCACAGGCAATGACTACACTCAGACGCACCCAGGGTCCTGTGAACGGCCGGAGCCTAGTGGGGGAGGGAGGGGACGGATGGCGGGGAAAGAGACCGGGCGTCTCCCGTCATGGCCCCTCGACAGCCAGCGAGGAGAGCTTGGCTGGGCCACCCCCGCCCCAAGCCCGGCCTCCAGCGCTGCGCTCTGACAGGGGAGGCCGGGGAAGGGGAAGGGGGGCCCCACGGCTCTCTGGGACCGAAGGACGAGCACGCGGTGCACAAGCCTGCGGACTCAGTCCTGCGTGCTCTTTGTGCTGTTCTTTTCTGCCTCCGACAAGCAGGCCCCTAGCGCCCTGCGGCTCAGTGCTGTCAGAGGCCTGGGGCTGGAAAGCACACTTCACTCCCCTGCCCTGGGAGCGGCTGGGCCAGCTGGCTTCTTTCTCATCTCTTCATCACTGTGTGGCTTTTGCTCTGAAACGACCTATGGCCTGAGCTCCTCCCAGCCGGTGCCGCTGTCCCGGGGAACAGAAGAGGAACAGAGAGGGGGAGTCATCTCCCCTGGCTCACACAGCCAGTCGGTGGCCAAGCCGAGCCAGGGCTCCCAATCTGAACACTTACTGGCGCAAGTGTTTCTTCATCCGTAAAATGGGTACAATCCCGCCAACTTCATGGAGGGAAATTGAGGTCCCAAGAGGGGAAGTGACTTGCCCAGCATCACCAGTTAGCAAAGGGCAGAGGCAAGATTCGAACCCAGGTCTGTTGGAGCTCCACCACTTTCCCTACTGGGTGTTCTGCCTGCCCTCCTAGCTCCTCCCTGGGAACTCGGGAGCCAGGGCAGGTGGGGGAAGGCCTCAGGCACATTCTTATCATTCTCCGTGCCTTGTGGAGACGCTGTCCGAGAGGTGGGGTCCATGATTCAGCCATCTCCAGCGCTCTCCCCTCTCCCCCCTGCAGAGAAGAGCATTCCCCTTCGAATCCTCTATGAGAAGTACTGTGACTGCCTGACCGAGTCAAACCTCATCAAGGTGCGGGGCCTCCTCATCGAGCCGGCTGCCAACAACTACCTGCTGGCTGAGAGGGACATCTATCTGGAGAACCCAGAAATCAAGATCCGGGTAAGGGCTTGGCTGGGCAGGTGGGGGGAAGGGACGCTCGGGGCCCCGGGGCAGGCCTCGCACGCTTGCACACGCCCGCATCCCTGTCATCTCAAGATCTCTGATGCCCCGGGCCTCCTCAGATCCTAACTTCATCAAAGGAAAGCATCGCGAAGCCAAGGGAATTTGGGACTCAAACTTCTAGAAATGAACCCTAGAATCCCAGAGTGGAAGGGGGTGGGGTTTAGGAGTCTCAGAATCACGGACCCTTGAAAGCTAAACTCCTAAGGTGAGACCCCCAGGCCCTGGGGCGCTGGGTGGGCAGGGAGAGGCAGAGGAGCTAAGGGCACAGACTCTGGAGTCCAACCGCCTGGGTTTGTGCGTGGGTGGCCCTGGGCAGGTTACTTTGCCCCTCTGTGCCTCAGTTTCCTCATCTGCAAGGTGGTGTTCATTCTAGCACCTAGGCGTGTTGTAAGAATTCAATGTGCATCACAGAAAGTGCCTTAGAAGTGCTCTTAGTAGCTGACGATTCTTATCACCGTCATCATAGTGATCCATTTGGAGGAGCCATAGTCCAGAATCCCAGGTGCAGCAGGTACAAATAAGCAGTCAAGAGCAGGGAGCAGGGGAGGGAGCACTGTGTGTCAGAGCCCCTGCTGGGAGCTTGTCCAGCCCAGCTCAGTTAATCCTCATGAGAACCTGACCGTAAGGCATTTCTCTCCTATGAAGATACCAATTGGCTCAGAGAGGGTAGTTTGTTTCCCAAGGCCACACAGTGAGAAGGAGTAGAGATCACTGGCTCCAAAGCCTGTGGTCTTTCCATTCTAGACCCTAGAACAAAGGAGGCACTTTATCCCCCAAGGCGTGTGAGGCCTCACTGCAGGTCGTGAAGGAGACCTGGGCAGCTACCAATATCCACGTGTTCCAGATGAGGAAACCGAGGCACAGAGGTGGGGAGTGATCATGCCAGAGCTGGGCGAACATGGAGCCAAACTGCAGCAGATACAGAGATGGCCCAGCCAGGACTCTGCCTGCCCTGGAAGGGGCTCCGGGGCCCTCTCCCTCGGTGCCGCCCCTGATGCCTGTCCTGTACTCCCTTCCAGATCCTGGGCGAGCCCAAACAGAACCGCAAGCTGGTGGCTGAGGTGTCCCTGCGGAACCCGCTCACCACGCCCCTGTCAGGCTGCACCTTCACCGTGGAGGGGGCCGGCCTGACCGAGGAGCAGAAGGTCATGGAGATGTAAGTTCGGGTCACTCTAGCTGGGGGGCCTGGGAGCACCGGGAGGGTGCTAATGGGGGGAGGGGCCGCCCTCAGGCACCAAACCCTGGCCCCTAACTCCTTCCTCTCGTCCCCCACACACTCGCATGTCCATTCCCACCTGCCTTAGCTACACATGCCACTTTTGCACGCTCCCTGAGCACTCACACTGCACCTGCTGCTTTCCAAGCACGCGTCTTCACAAACCTCAACAGTTAACACAGTCAGTCACTAAGCGCCGCCTCTGGACACACGGGTCCTCCCTGGAAACACAGGTGTCCTTGCCCTGAATGTGTGCACGTGTGCATGTGTGGGTGAATCCTCATGTACGTATTCACATGTGTACCTATGAGCACATACGCTGTTTCTACTGACCTCTTGTAGTGTAACTTACATGCCGTAATAACGCAAATTGCGCATGTACACCTCAGCACGTCCTCACACATGTGGCCCGCTGGGCACACCCACTCCACCCCCCGGCCCACCATCTGCTTCCATGCACGCGCAGGCACACACACGTACACACACGGGCCCAGGCTCTTAGAGAGCGGTGCGTGGGGCCTGTTTTATTCTCGTCGGCATGAAGCCGCAGGCACCCGGAGGCTCTGTGCGAAGATCTCGGCAGTGACACGTCATCCTGCCCTGCCCCCGCCACGGGGACCAGCCTGCGCCCCTCTCCTCACCCTCCCTCTCTTTCTGTCCACAGCCCAGACCCCGTGGAGGGCGGGGAGGACGTCAAGGTGAGGGTGGAGCTGCTGCCACGCCACGTGGGCCGCCACAAGCTGGTGGTGAACTTCGAGAGTGACAAGCTGAAGGCCGTGAAAGGCTTCAGGAACGTCATCATTGGTCCTGCCTAAGGGCTGCGGGCCCGGCCCCAGAGAGCTCCCAGCTTGACTGCCATTTTTGTTCCAGGCTAATGAGCAAAATTTGCCCCTTCTTGGGCCCCCAGACTTCAGAATCTGTGGGGGCTCTTTGGGATGGAATGTATTTCTGGCTACTCTTGTGGTTCCCCGCTTCCCCTTACCTGGAAGAATGTTCCGTGGCTCCACAGTGGGACCACGTCCTCGGCTGGCTGGGCCCCGGGGTGGGGGAGGAGGAGGCACCCATGCCTTTCTATACAGCCCAGATGCCGTTGGAAAGCCACTGACCACCCCTCATATTGCTTGATTCACTCTAGAGCCCCCGGGAGCAGGCAAAAGAGAGACGGTGTCCACTGACCAGATCCCAAACAATGCACAGGAGCCCTTGGGGAGACCCAGAGCAGGTGCAGGTGGAGTCCCAGGAAAGGCCAGTCCCAAGTTCCCTCCACATCCTGGCAGGCCTGGCTCTAAAGTCTCCCCCCCGCAACCATTGCGAGGCACCTACTATGTGCCGGGCACTCCCTGTGCTTACTGGTGCTCACGCAGCTACCAACCCATTTAATCACCACCGGAAATCACGAAGTGGGAGCCGCTTTCTTGATGAAGAGACTGGGGCCCAGAGAAGGGAGGCGGCCCACTCCGCCCCACGGGATTTTTGCAAGGCTGGGTTGTATGAAGACACTGGAACAGAGCCCAGGACTTCTGACTCCGAGTCCAGCCTCCCGTTCACGGTGCCAGCCCTGACCTGAGAATATCAAAGGGACCATTTGGGACCTGATCAGAAGGGTACAGGTGGAGTGAGGTAGGGAGGAGATTGGAGGGGTCAGAGTTCTAGGTTTGAGCCCCAAGTCCAGCCAGCCGCTGCCTCCCCTCTCTGGGCCGCAGGCCCCTGACTGGGCAGTGGAGCAGATGCACCAGCTCCTGTAGAAGATTCCAGTGCCTTACATGACCCAGCCTTGCAAGTGATGGCAAGCCCTACTTGTGGCTCCACAGAGCCCCAGGCCACGGGCCCAGATGTTTCTGAGTGTGAAACCCTGACCATGACCAGGTCCACGCTCCCAGCCCTGTCTGGGTCCCCCGTCTGTGCCCAGGCACCTTCCGTCAGACCACGGTTTTAGAAAACAGGACCCCAGGAGCCCCTGTCCTATCCATGAGCCTGCCCACTGCAAGGCCTAGACTTCACGAGAGCCTTAGCCGCCTGTGCTGGTCACTAACCAACAAAGCTGGCGTCTCAATGGCCACCTTTTTGCAGGACCAGGGCCCGGGAGCCCAGCCCCCACCCCAAGGACGAACCAAGAGCCCATGAGTTGTCATCTCAGTTTTTATCCCCTGCTCTCTCACGTGACGGGGTTGGAAGAGAAGCAAGGGAAGATTCTCTCTCTCTCTATCACGGCCTCCAGGGCCCCCAGAATCCCAGAGAGGGGCTTGGAGAAAGTCACGCTGACGCACACAGAACTTTCCGCTTTGCATAGAGAAGAATCACAAAATGAGCCGACACGTATGTGTTCTTACAAATGTGCCTCTAATCCTCTTTGGTTTGATAAACACACTTCTGGGTTCCAAGCAGGCAGTAGATGTGCTTTTGGGCCACAAAGACTGAGCACTGAAATAAAATTGTTTATTTTGCACATTCAAACAAGGTCTGGTCTGGTTCTTTTTACACTTCTGAGGAGGGTAGGTGGGTGAGCTCACTCGCACTGGGACCAGCCACCTCCTGCCTAGGAACCTTTCCCCGGCCTCAGCCCCTCCCCCAGGTCTAAACTTAAGGAACATTCGCGGTTCGACCTGGTTTGGCTCCGCTTCTGGCTTCGTCTCCCAACAAATCATGTTTGAGTCCCAATGAGCTTCCCAAAGCCCTCAAAAGACCCTGTGCACCGGTTGCTTTCTTGGCTTCTGCATGGTATTCCCTGAGCCTGGGGTGCCCTTCCTCTTCCTTAACCATCTGGAAAACTCCTACTCATCCTATAATGCCCAACACCAAAGAAAAAGTGTTTTCTGTGAACTCTTCTTAGATTTCTTCTCAGCCTCCCAGGGCCCTGGAACATGGACCAATTCAAACATTTATCACAGTGGATTTTAGTTTCCTGTTGGTGTGTCTGTCCCTCTCCCCATTCTATCTGAAGTCTATCTCTTTTTTTAAACTGTTTTAAAATGTTTATTTCTGAGAGAGAGAGACAGAGCACGAGCAGGGGGAGGGGCAGAGAGAGAGGGAGACACAGAATCTGAAGCAGGTTCCAGGCTCTGAGCTGTCAGCACGGAGCTCGACGCAGGGCTCAAAGTCACCGCGAGATCATGACCTGAGCCAAAGTCGGACGCTTAAGCGACTGAGCCACCCAGGTGCCCCTGAAGCCAATCTCTTAAATGGACTCCAATAAATGTTGAATAGATAAACCGATGTGTTTCAATTCAGCTCCCGTAAGACCAGTGCTTATTTCCAAGAGAAATATCATGTGGGCCACAAATGCAAGCCATATATGTAATGTAAATTTTTCTAGTGGCCACATTAAAAAGAGTGAAAAGAAACAGGTAAAATATGTCTCAATAATGTATTTTATTTAACCTAGTATGTCTAAAATATTATGTCATCATGTAATCAGTCTGAAAAATATTAGTGACACATTTTACCTTCTTATTTGCACACTAAGTCTCCGAAACGTGGTTTCTATTTTACACGGACAGCCCATCTCAGTTTGGCCTGGCTGCACTTCAAGTTCTCGATAGCCACAGGTGGCGTCTGCAAGTACAGGAACTTGGCCATCCATCTCATTCCCCACTGACCAGCCGCTGATAAATGTTTGTTGATTGAATAAGCGATAGAGGACAATCTCTGCCCCCAGGAGACGTATGTTGAAAAGCACGGGAAGCATCTAAAAGAGAAATCAGAATGAAAACATGACATCACACGTTCTGGGTACTGAATCCTTCTGTCCCTTGAAAACTACAGCTTGTTCTGGCCCAGACGGCCTGAACATTTTGTTAAGTAGTGACCGGCTGGAAAACAGAAAACCGCTGGGCTATTTCAGGCTGAGAGGATAAGGGAAATCGGTGCCACAGGCATCCGGAGTGCAGGAAGAGTAGAAGGGAGACGGACTGTTACAAGGCGGCTGCCATCCAGATAGTCCTAAGCCCCCAAGCCCGGGGGTGCTCGCCACCTGCTTGCTGGAGGCACCCACGCCATGGCCCCGGTGCCAGTAGAGCTGCGCAGTCTCTGAAGTCTGCTCAAGTCGGCCTGGCCGTGGCAGGAGGTAGGGGCAGGCTGGCATCTCTCATCTTCCTGCCTTCTCCCTGCTGGCAGATCCCACCCAGAGACTTGCTGGCAAGGGGTTCTGGAAAATCTCATGCTCAGGCTTCCAGCCCCCCTGATAGCAGATGGCCGAGCAAGGCTGGGGGTGGGGGTGGGGATGGAGTGGAGCCGCTGATGCCTATTGCTGTTCCCTCTGCTAAGAAGAGCTTTACCAACATCTCTACCTAAGGAACTCTTTTTGTTTTTAATTAATGTTTTATTTATTTTTGAGAGAGAGAGAGAGAGAGAGAGACAGCACAAGCAGGGGAGGGTCAGAGAGAGAGGGAGACACCGAATCTGAAGACAGGCTCCAGGCTCTGAGTTGTCAGCACAGAGCTTGACATGGGGCTCGAACCCACTAACCGTGAGATCATGACCTGAACTGAAGTGGGATGCCCAACCAACTGAGACACCCAGGCGCCCCCTCTACCTAAGGAACTCTTAATCAGCCTTCAAAGCCCTTCTCCAAGGAGGTCTCCTCCATGAAGCCCTCCTGGATTGTGGCCAATGGCCTCAACCTCTGGTTCCCCTGGGTGTATCATAGGTAGCTTTTGCAATACTCCACAGCCTGGTTTAGGAACAGTTGTTTGAGTGCTCGGCCCATGTTCTAGAGCACCCCAAGAGCAGAGGCAGAGCACACCCCCTACAAGGGGGCCACCAAGTGGACTCAGGACTGTCGACTGTGCCTCCCCCCTTAAAGGCAAGGGCAAGACGCCTCAGCAAAGTCGGCCAATGCTGAACAGATTTGGAGGCCTGTCCCACCCCTGGGAGTTCACTAGCCAGGAGCCCAGGAAGGACAAAGGCCCTGCTGTTCGTGTAGGCCCATTTTACAGACAAAGAAAATGATCCTGAGATCCTGCTCCCCAAACCGGGGGGGGTTGGGGGGGGGCTGAGTCTGGGTCCCTAGAGTACAGCGCGGTGCACTGCGTCAAAGCCTCACACTACCACAGATTCGCAGTGTGGTTCCAGGCAGGTCCTCAGCCTCTCTGTGTCTCCCCTTTCCCATCTGTCGAATGGGGATGATAGGGGGTCTACCTTCACGACCAGTCTGCAGGTTCAGGAAAATGGTGCACACAAAACAGCTGGCTCTTGGCACGTTACCATCATAATAGCCAACTTAACTCCAGGGTCAGGAACCTTCGCAGGCACTGAGTTATTTCCTCCTCCAACAACCCCAGCAGGATGCTGCCGCCATTCAGCAGGTTTGATAATCATGGAGCTGGACTTGACCCCAGGCAGCCTGCCTTCCCCAGCACACAGCCTAGCCCAGAGGAGGCCTCATCTGTATCCAGACCCTCCCTTCCCACGGGATTCCAGGACGCGTGGAGCAGAGGCCTCCACCAAGCCCCTGCGGTCCTCAGTGGGGATCTGATTGAGTTTATCTTCCCACCCCTAAAAGTCCCTCTCCTCTCCAGCTGCTCTTGCTTACCTAGGATGCCTGCCAGCTCACCCCTCAGGCCCCAAGCCAAGCCGAGAATAACAGAACTTTGATAGAGTCCAAAAGGGAGGGGCCCCGGGAGGAGGGCCAGGCGGATGCCTCCTAGAAGCACACGCACCTTGGGGCCAGGACCGGGTCAGCACATACCCTCTCCCCTCCCGGCCTCCCTGCTTCCCTTCCCCACAGGCCTGCGCAGATACACACACACACACACACACACACACACACACACACACACACGTCCGGGAGATGTGAAGCCTGGTATTCTGTTTCAAGAAGAAAAGCCCAAAGAGACTCATTAAAAGCAGAAGCAATGAAAAAAATGATGGTCCGCACAGCCTTGAGAACAGGGGATCTATAATGACACACGATACAATGAACCTCACAGACCTCAAGTTCAGTGAAAGAAGCAACCGAAAAAGACTGTGAGCTACAGGGGCGCCTGGGTGGCTTAGTCGGTTAGGCGTCCGACTTTCGCTTAGGTCATGATCTTGCAGTTCGTGGGTTTGAGCCCTGTGTCGGGCTCTGTGCTGACTGCCAGCTCAGAGCCTGGAGCTTGTTTCAGAGTCTGTGCCTCCCTCTCTCTCTGACCCTCCCCTGCTCACGCTGTCTCTCTCTCTCTCTCTCCTAGAAAAAAAAAAAAAAAAAGACCGTGAGCTACGTAACTGCACTCACATGAGGTTAATGAACAGGCAGAACTCACCCATGTTTTCCCTGGTGGGGCCGGACTGGAGCTCAAGGGGATGGGGGGGGGGGGGCTGTGAGGATGGGTTTTGATGTTCTTCACCTGGGTGTCGGGTACACAGGTACATTCAGGTATACACATATAGTGGCACTGTTTTTGCACATAGGGCTTACTTCAATAGAAGTTGCAAAAATATATACTCAAAGATTCTAAAATTAGGTCCAAAGGCGATGGAGACAAGGGACTTGGCCTCCTGAGTTCTCTCTTTTTCTTCTTCCAGGATATGGGATACTAGTGGGTATACCTCCTGGGTGATTGTGAGGCTTAAGTAAGATGCTTCATGTGTAAATACAAGGCCGTAGGGGGGATTTTGTGTGTCTCCTTTGCTGTGAACAGTGCGGGGCACATCAGTCAATGTACTGAATGAGTGCACACAGGCTGTGTTTTTATGATCTCAGCTAATCCTCCGAACGGACCATAGAGATTACTATTCTGTTTCCCAGAGGGGCAAACTAAGGTTCAGAGATGTAAAACAGCTCACTCAGTGACCTAGAAAGTTGATGGCAGAGCAGGAGTTAGAATCCAGTTGACTCTCCCATGAACCCCACGGAAGACTCTGAAAAGTGGAAGGGAGGACTCAGTCCCCAGATGCTGGACACTAGAAGGGGCAAGTCTCCCCACCGTCACCACCCCCAAGGTCTGAGGAAGCCAGAGCCAGAAGCCTGGGCTCATAAACAGAGTTACCATAGGACCCAGCAATTCCACTCCTGGGCATTTACTCCAGAGAATTGAAAACATGTCCACACAAAAGGTTCCACGTGGATGCTTATAGCAGCATTATTCACAATAGCCAGAAAGTGGACACAACCCAAACGTCCATCAACTGATCAATGGATAAATCAAGTGTGGTACCCCCATACAACGGACTATTGTTTAGCCATAAAAAGGAACCAAGTCCCGATACATGTTACAACATGGATGAAACTTGCAAACACTGTGCTCAGTGCAAGAAGCCAGTCACAAAAGACCACAGGTCGGATGTGAAATGTACAGAGTAGGCAAACATATGGGGACAGGGAATTGATTGGTGGTTTGCTTGGCTGAAGGCATGGAGGGGTTGTGAGGGCTGGGGGAGGGCGAGGAAGTTGACACCGGGATTCTTTTTTGGAGTAATTAAATTTTCAAAAATCCATTGCGGTGTTGGATGCACCACTCTGTACTAAAGCCATTGAATTATATACTTTCAAAAAAGTGAGTTACAAGATGTGTGAATTATATCTTAATAAAGTTGTTTTTTTTTGTTTGTTTTTTGTGTTTTTTTTGTTTTGTTTTGTTTTTTTTGAGAGAGAGACAGCATGAGCCGGGGAGGGTCAGAGAGAGAGGGAGACACAGAATCCGAAACAGGCTCCAGGCTCTGAGCTAGCTGTCAGCACAGAGCCTGATGCGGGGCTTGAACCCACGAACTGCAAGATCATGACCTGAGCCGAAGTCGGATGCTTAACCGATTGAGCCACCCAGGCGCCCCTTAATAAAGTTGTTTTTAAAAATAATAATGAGGGGCACCTGGGTAGCTCAGTCAGTTAAGCGTCTGACTGTGGCTCAGGTCATGATCTCACTGCTCCTGAGTTCGAGCCCCGCGTCAGGCTGTGTGCTGACAGCTCAGAGCTTGGAGTGTGCTTCCGATTCTGTCTCTGTCTCTCTGCCCCTCCCCTGCTCACACTTGCTCTCTCTCTCAAATATAACATAAAAAATAATAATTAATAATGAGCATGGGGAAAAAAGGAAGGCTGAGGCACAGAATCGCAGACGTGATTCTGATTCGAGAGGTCTGCCTGGATGTGCTGGGTGAACTTGGATAAATCATTTCCCTCTCTGGGCCTTAGTTGTCCCTGCGGTCCATGGGGAGAGGAGAGAGCTGGAGCAGAATTGTGACGTGCCATTCATTTGGGCAGGTTATCACACTTTTCACAACAGTTGTCCAAGATCATGTCCGCTCAAGTCCTCCAGGGGCTGCTAAAGCCCTTAACCATTCACTGAAATCTTTGCAGATCATCTGAGCTCACCAGCGGCAGGCCATGTTTCATCAATAACATTTATTTTATTTTATTTTATTTTGTTTTGTTTTGTTTTGTTTTGTTTCTTTTGAGGGAGAGAGAGAGTCAGTAAGCGGGGGGGGGGGGGGTGGGCAGAGAGAGAGAAAGAGAATCCCATGCAGGCTTTACGCTGCCAGCACAGAGCCTGATGTGGGGCTTGAACTACAAACCATGAGATCATGACCTGAGTGGAAACCAAGAGTCGGATGCTTAACTGACCGAGCCACCCAGATGCCCCACATCGATATCCTTTAAAGATGACAGAAGAGATGCTTCTGCAAACATTGCCCCTGGCCACTGCTCTGGGGGGACATCCCCGGCTCTCTCCATGCCACCAGTCAGTCTTAACTCCACGCCAGCTCCTTCCA